GTTAATCCGATAGGTAAAAAGAAATCATTTTTGTGGCACTGGTGTTTGAACTCAGGGCTTCACATTTGCTAGGCAGTTGCTTTTACTTTTTGAGTCACTCCATCAGTCCTGTTTTGTGTTGAGTTTTTTCGAGATAAGGTCTTTTGAACTATTTGCCCAGCACCGGCTTTGAACTGCAGTTCTCCCAATCTCTCCCTCCTGAGTAGCTAGGATTATAGGCATGAGCCACTGGTGTCTGGCAACCTGACTTTTATGATGGCTTTAGCCTCACAGATATTTTTTTTCTTCCAACACAGCTGAATATATCACTCTTTCCTTATATGGCATCTAGTTTTTGTTTTGTACTTAAAAAGACTTCCCTCACTTTGAGATTATAAAAAGTTCTCCCATGGTTCCTTCCAGTATGTTTTGGTTTCATTTTGACCTGTGTGCTGTGTAGATGCAAGTTCAAATTTTCTAGGTGGCTATCCAGTTATTCTAATACCAAATACAGTCTCACCTTTTTCTTACTGATTTGAAGTTCTACCTTTATTATGCTACATTTCCATATATATTGATGTTTTTGGACTTTATATTCTGTTTCACTGATCACAGGACAATTGTGGCTCCATTTGTTCTTGATGTCAAAACCCTGCCTTTTTTTGTTATTGTTCCCAATGGTTTTGAATTTATGTTGAGTAGTTTCAATAATTATTAGTTTTCCCCTCTTTTCTTCCTTTTGCTTCTGTATATCCTCAGTTTAGTTACTATATAAAACACTCATTGCCAACAAATTACATGAATTTGAATCAACCCATTGAGGAAATAGTTTTGGTACTTTAAGAATTTGTGGACTGGAGACATGGCTCAAGAGGTAGAGCACCTGCTTTGCAGAGTGAAACCCTGAGTTCAAACCCCAGTCCCACCAAAAACGAACAAACAAACAAACAAACAAGAAAACCATTATACACACACACACACACACACACACACAATATGTAATAAGTAGAATAACTGTGATTTCCTTCTTTCTTTCTTTCTTTCTTTTTTTTTTTGGTGGGACTGGGTTTTGAACTCAGGGTTTTGCACTTGCAAAGCAGGCACTTTACCACTTGACACTTGAGCCACATCTCTAGTCCATTTTGCTCTGGTTATTTTGGAGATGGGGGAGGTCTCTTGAATATTTGCCCTGGCTGGCCTCAAACCTCAGTTCCCCCAATCTCAGCCTCTTAAGGACGAGGATTGCAGGCATGAGACATTGTTGCCCAGCTAACTCTGACTTTTTTTTTTTAAGTAGTGCTTTTCCTCCACTACCACCAGGTCCTTAGAGAAAGTGACTACCAGATCAGACAGCAAGTTATGGTCATAATTTACCTAACATTGGTGGTCTATTCCCTTTGCTACTTATTGGTTTATCCATAGCAAATAGGACTTGAAAGGATGTCTCTTGAGGAGCTACATGGAAAAATAGTGTTCTATGAAGGGTGATGTTTAGTTGGCAGTAGGATATTTAAGTCTAAAATTCAGGAGATCCAGAATGGAAGCATTGGGGCAGTTACTACTAATAGATTATGTTTAAAGTAATATGACCAGATAAGTAATAAGGACAGGTTGCATTTGTGAGGCATTTGCTGTAAAGGAGGGCGGAGAAACTGGTCAGTAGCTGCAGGGACAAGCCTAGTCAAGACAGATTTGTTTGATTTTTTTTGTGTTTTTTTTTTTTGGTGGTACTAGGGTTTGAACTCAAGATCTTGTGCTTGCTAAGCAAGTGCTCTACCTCTTGAGCCATTCTACCAGCCCTTTTGTGTGTGTTGGGTATCTTCGAGATAGGATCTCCTGACCTATTTGCCCGGGCTGCCTTCTAACTGCCATCCTCCTAATCTGTCTCCCTCATAGCTAGGATTACAGTTGTGAGCCATCAGTGCTCCACTAAGACAAAGTTTTTTTTATCCTTGTTGTTTTGGCAGTACTGGGATTTGAACTCAGGGCTCATGCCAGCTAGGCAGGTGCTTTACCACTTGAGCTACTTACCCAGCCATTTGGTTTTTTTAAGATGGAAGAAATAAATTCATGTTGGTATAACAATAGGAAAGAAAATTGGAAAAATGGTGATGGGGGAGGAATTGCTGAATAGTTGTCTTTGAGACAGAAAGAAAGACGTGAGTCCTAGTACTTGTGCTCCTCTAGTGCCAATCTAAGAATGGATAATCTAGCTGGCACCGGTGGTTTACATCTGTAATCTTTGCTACTCAGAAGGCAGAGATCAGGAGGATCAGGGTTTGATGCCAGCCTGGGCAAATAGCTCTTGAGATTCTATCTCAAAACAACAACAACAGCAACAAACAACAACAACAAACCCATTAAAAAAAAAAAGGCTGGTGAAATGGCTCAAGGTGAGATTAAACCCCAGTACTAAAGAAAAAAAGAATGGATAGTCTAAAAATCAGTTTGTGGCTGGGTGCCAGTGACTCATGCCTATAATCCTAGCTACTCAGAGGGCAGAGATCAGGAGGATTGAGGTTTGAGCAAACAGTTTGAAAGACTGTATTTCAAAAATACCTAACAGAAAAAAGGGCTTTGGAGTAACTCAAGTGGTAGAGCACCCGCCTTAGCAAGCATGAAACCCTGAGTTCAGACCCTCGTATCTCAAAACAAACAAACAAATAAAAACCCCCAAAACTGTGATGGAAATTGAGAATAAATGTTCAGAAACTTTTATAACAATTAGAATTTTCTTTTGTGGGTTTTGTGTGGGAAAATTCTAATTGTTTTATAACAATTAGAATTTTCTTTTGTGGGGGGTACTAGGGTTTGAACTCAGGGTTTTGGGCTTCCAAAGCAAGTACTCTACAACTTGAGTCATACCTCCAGCCCATTTGCTCTGGTTATTTTGGAGATGGGGCCTTGCAACTATCTGTCTGGGCTGGCCTCAAATCATGATCCTCCTGATCTCAGCCTCCTAAATAGTTGTCCTCCCACCCCCACCCCCAGATGAATACTGTACTGCCCAGGCTGTCCTCAAAATCCTGGGCTTGAGTGACCCTCCCACCTCAGCCTCCTGAGTAGCAGGAGCTACAGACATACACCCTCAGACAGAAAACATTTGTGTCTGTTGGATCTAATAATAAAAAATCTGAAACCTGGAGTAAACAGTGGTAGAATGCTTGCCTGGCATATCCAGCATGTGCGAGGCCCTGGCTCAATCCCCAGCACACACGCACACATACAGAATCTGATGTTGTCAAATTCAGAGATAGGAAGTAGAATAGTGCTTTGTCTGCTCCTGGATGCTCTGCCACACTGTCCCTGCCATGATGTACTGACACCTCTGAAACAGCCAAAATTAGTATTTCCTCCTTTGAAGAAAGAGACAGAGAGAAAGAGAGAAAGAGAGAGAGAGAGAGAGAGAGAGAGAGAGAGAGGAACGAACGTAGGGCTGGGGTTTGGGGTGTGGCACAGTGGTAGAGATCTCACATACAAAGCCCGTGTGAGGCCCTCAGTTTAATCCCCAGCACTGAGCTCGCCAGGATGTGGGGAAAGAGAATGGGGAGTTATTATCTAATGCGTACAGAGTTTCATTTTTGCAAGATGAGAAGACTTCTGGAGCTGCATGATGGTGATGGTGGTACAATGTGCATATTTTTAATTCCACTGAATTCTACATTTAAAAATGGTTAAGACGGGACTAAAGCCTAGGTGCAGGTGATAGAACGCCTGCCTAGCAACTATGAAGCTCTGAGTCCAAACCCCAATACTGCAAACTCATGGCTTTAGTACCAATAAAGGCGCGTTAAAAAAACGTTAATACTCTGAGGGTAGCTCAGTGGTAGAGAATATGCTTAACGTGTGTAAGGTGCTGTGCTAGATTCCCAGATCCACATAAAACAAGAATAAAAGACAGGGCTTGCATTGGTATAACTGTCTTTCTAAATTTCATTTTTTCTAGTATTTTTTATTGTATTTTACAAAAATATGAATCTAACATTAGAGGAAAAGCCTGGGTTCTTTAGCATGATGATTTGAGGACTGAGAAGTGTTTGACTTTAGCTAAAAAAGATGGATATGTAGCTCAGTGGCAGAGCATTTGCCTGCATGTTTGAGGCTGATCTCCCAACACACACACACACACACACACACACACACACACAATACACATGTAGGTGGACCATGTTCTCTTCTGTTCATTTTCTCAGTGAATGGGAAGCAAAATCATCAGATAAATGAGGATGGAGGAGGAAGTGTTGAAGGTTTGAAAAAGAGAGGGTTTGGGAATAATTATCTAGGAGAGTGGGAGATACGCAGCTGGAGAAATGTAGTAGTTTATCCAACCACTAAAAGGCCCATTTGAGATAGTGATGTCAAATTTCGGGGAGACAATCAGTCGGTCAGTATGGATTTGATGTATCCCAACCCCCTTTTCACTTTGCTGCAGGGTTAGGACCCAGAGTTTTGTCAGTACAAAGACAGGAGAGAAGGATTGGAGCGATGAGGGTGAATACCTGGCAACGATTGCCACTATTTAAGGGAGGATGTAAGGGCAGTATGAGGAATAGTAAAAAGGTAGTCGGGTCAATGGATTTTGGATGACGGTGGACTTGAACAGTTGGATTTGGAATATCGGAGAGAGTAAACTAGAAAGGCAGGAGGTTGTGGTGGGAAAGTTAACTTGAGATCATGGGGGCTGGGGATGTGGCTCAGTGGCACAGCCACACAATGAATGTCAGCGAATCAGAAGCTGAAATCTAAAAGAACGATGGTGAGTGACACAGAGATCTGTGATGACCTAAGCGAGTGCTCTGCTCTCCTGTCGTGACGTAAGGTTTAGAGCTCCTCTTCTAGTTAAAGGGGCTAGGCGGACTTGAAGGGACGTTGCCCCTTTAAGGGCGGGCGGTTGGGAAGCCGGAGGGTCCGGCTGGGGGCGGACCCCGCTCGGAGTCTGCGCAAAGGCGGTGGCCGAGGCCGAGTCAGAACGGACGGAGCGGGGCGGGCGATGGGGCGGGGCCTCGCGGGGGCGGAGCCTGTGCTGGGGTCTGGCTGCGGCTGAGGCTGCGGCTGCGGTGCTGCACTTCCAGCTTCTGAGGGAACGAGACTGAGGCCTGGGCCAAGCCCGGCGCCGCTGCGGGACCGAGCCTCCTGGAGCCCCCGCGCCGGCTCAGCCTGGGGGCGGGCTCGAGCCCGGCCCGCCGTGGCACCCAGGACCGAGGCTGCATGCACGAGGACCAGGCCGGTGCAGCCATGGTGAGGGAGCGAGGCCTGCCCGAGCCGCAGCCGCCCGCCAGCCTAGCCCCCGCGGCCTGCCCCTCCCTAGCCTGGACGCCCTGCGTCGCCTGGCCCTCTTGTGACCACATCCTGGGCGTCCAGCTCCTTCTCGGCGTTCCCTGCCCACCTGCTGGGGCCAACCCAAGGGTGACATCCCTTAATGTCCCTCCCCTCTCGTGACACTTTTATCACTCCCCCCCGCGACAGCCTCCTTCGCATTCTCTTCGCGTCCCCCCAATCTTCCTTAACCCTTCCCTCCTTCCTTTTCTACCATTTTGCCTTTTTCTCTTGCGATCTTCACCCTCCCCCCTTTTCCTCCCATCTTTTTCGCCCCAGCCTTCTGCTCTCCCTTCTCACCCCCGTCACCATTTTATCTCCACTGCCCCCTCCTCCCCTCGTCCTCTGCCATTCCTGTTTCCTCTGCCCCTTATCGGATGTCCTCGCCCGCCGGCCCGCAAGGCTATTGCTCCCCGGGAGCTGTTGGGCGGGCACAGAGCGATTCACAGCCTTTCTTCTTCCTTTTCTTTTTTGGAGGGCGGAAGAGGGAGGTTGGAGGTTTGGAAGAGAGCCTGGAAGCCTTATTACTTAGTATCGTTGCAAAACCTGAGTGATGGTGTGTTTCAGAGTGATGGAGGGCCAGCATTCATATTGTCACCTTACGAGATTAATCTAGCCTTTTGATAGAAATCGCTAAAAATGTTTTGAAATTTATTTTTATTTTGAGCGTATTTTAATGCAGAAGTATAGTGTGGGAAATTAAAAAAAATTATTTCCAAGCTTGACTGTTACTACTTAGAACAAATGATTTTGTTTTTGTTTGGAGGCGTAGACCAAGGACATTTGAGGACTGAAAATCAGTTTGGCAGTCAGACTGTGACAGTCTTTAATACCTTCTCTAAAGGGTTCGTTTGTTTTGTCCTTCCTGCCCTTTCTTGGGGGAACCATTTATTTGAAAGTTTTCTTCCTATTTCAAAATATGTTCTGACTTCAGTTGTTTTTTTCATTGAGTTGAGTTACACGTGTTTTGCAGTACTTTTATGGAAGACAGTGGTCAATCATATACAGTAAGCTAAATTTTGATGTCTGAGAGGAGTAGACATTCTAGTCAAAACTAGTCCTGATAATCATGTTCTCTTACATTAGTCAGTTTGTCTTTTCCCTCCCTCTGATTTTTAGGAAAGTGGTTTATTATCACATCATTTAATCTATAAATATTCCCTGACTCACTGACTCCTGTGTTTATAGGTTGTTATTCTCCTGTGTCTGTCTCCTTCACTTTTACCACCCATCACACTGTCATTGTGTGCTATCCTGTTTCTTCCTGTAGAACATGAGTTCCCGAGCGCTATGCCTTACTTATTCCTGTTATTCCCAGTGCCCAGGTCAAGTAGGTTTCAGTGATTCACTTTATGGTCTCATTTTCCCACCTGATAAGTACAGTCTTAAACTGTACTTGAGTGAGTTTGAGCATCTTATTTTTGGTGCAAAAATATAGTGAGATGTGATGATTGATACTCCTCAAAATAAAGAGCCATTCTATCTAAGATATCAAACTATCAAACTGATAGGCTTTTGGAAATGTGGGCCCTCCTACTGAGAATGAATATATGAGTACAGAGGGAGGAGCTACAGGTTCCTCTTTGGGTATTTAGGATCTAAATGTGTCATTTGAGCTGGGCCTGAAAGATTAATAGGATTTATGTAGATCATTTTGGAAAGGGGTAGAAGGCTTCATTGTGAATTTGAGTTGAAAGTAGAAAGGAATTAGGCTATGTTGTAGGAAGGATTACCTTTATATAGTATGAAAGGATGCAGGAATGATGGTGTGCAAAGGCAGACATGGTGGTTCACACCTGAATCCTAGCTACTCAGGAGGCAGAGATTGGGAGAACCTTGGTTCCAGGCCAGCCTGGGCCAAAAGTTACTGAGACTACATCTCAACCAAAAAGCTGTGTGTAGTAACTTGTGCTTGTGATCCCAGTTCTGCAGAGGCAGTCTGAACAGACTTGTTCCAGGCAAAAGAGACCCTATCCAAAAAAATAACTAAAGCAAAAAAGGGCATGGCTCAAGTGGTAGTACTGCCTAACAAGGTCCTGAGTTCAAACCCAAGTACAGAGAAGAGAAAAAAAAAATAAGGATGGGTAATAGAAAACAAGGCTAGAAAGATTGTCTCAATCCTTTTGGTCTGCTGTAACAAAATACCTGTTGGGTTGGGCACCAGTGGCTCATGCTTGTAATCCTAGGTACTCAGGAGTCAGAGATCAAGAGGGTTGAGGTTTGAAGCCAGCCCCGACAAATAGTTTGTGAGACCCTATTTTGAAAAAACCCTTCACAAAAAAGGGCTGGTGGAGTGGCTCAAGGTGTAGGCCCTGCATTCAAACACCCCAGTACTACAAGAAAAAAAAAGCCTCACAATCCGAGGTGTAGGCAAGGATAGGGAAGGCTCCTTAGAGAGCACATGGGCAGCACCTACTGAAGGAAATACACCCATGCACCATAATTCTGCTCCTAGACTGGAAACCTATATAATGAGCATGTGGGGACATTCCTGGTGGGGTGTCTGCTCAGTGAAAATAGCAAATAGCCATAACAGGTTGGAGAGAATGTGTTCACAAGGCAAAAAAATACCCAGCATGAGGACCCACTGGGATGTAGCCCCCTGGGATCTTCAGGATGCTGTGGGCACAGACCACCCTAGAGATTCAAAAATGTCTTGGTGCTGATTTGTCCTTGTTCATAATGCTACTACCTCTTGCTACCCAGATGTCCTGGTAGAGAACAAAAGTCTCTGGAAGGCCTCTAGGTCTGAAGGAGTTGCATAGGACCTGGGGATGAATCAATATCTGGTGAGTGGTCTGGGGCATAGGGGCCCCAAGGCCAGATTGTGGCTGTAGCAGTTTAGACATCCTACTGGGCATAGCACCACCCCTGCCCCCTCAGAGAAGCTGGGCTCTACTGAGAGTGAGAATTCCCAGGGATAGAGTGGAAGGAGGCAGCTGATACCTAAGCCACCCGTCCTGAGCTCCACTGCCTTGAGTGCCTCTTAGGCTCTTGCCTGGCAAGCTCAGAGGGAGGTGAGTCACTCCAGTAACTCAGCTTAGGGTATGTGGTCTCATGCTTTATGAACCACAATCTCACGAGGAGCTTCTTTAGGTTGAACCTGGCAGCCAGGGGTAGCTGAACTTCATAGTGGGGTACTAGTCCATCTTGAAATGTTTTTCCAGCTTGTGATGGGATTCTTGCTATAGATCTTGGCAAGGGGATCCTGGTATTGGGGAGCCCAATAAATCACAAGGTTCTTGCACCCTGGTTCCCATGTTATAGTGAAATTTTGAGCTAAGAGGATAGAGGTTATTATTAATATCAGTAAATGTGTTCTTGAAAAAAATGAAGTCCCTTCCATGCTTATGCTTTTTTGTTTGTTTTTTTGTGGTGGTGGTGGTGGTGGTGGTGGTGATGGTGGTGTGTGTGTGTATGTGTGTATGTGTTACTGAAGGTTAAAGTCAGGGCCTTGCGCTTACTAGGCAGGCACTCTACCACTTGAGCTACTCTTTGTTTTTTTGAAATGAGGTCTTGCTATGTAGCCCAAGTTCACCTTGAACTCCCTACTCTCTTGCCACAGACTCCTGAGTGCTGAGGTTAAAAGTGTGCCCTACCATACCTGGCCTCAAGTTAATGCTTTTGAACCACAGGTCTGAGACATAATCATTGTGAATCACAGAATCATTTCAGAAGCACAAGTGGAGAGAAATGTCCTACAATAAGTAGGAAGTCTTACTAAATTTCATTCCTTTCTTAAACGCATTGATATGTTATATGTAGATACTAAACATTACCACTGGTACTATTATGTATCTCCTTCCACCCAACTTTCAGGCATATAATTTAATTTTTTAGCTGGCTTAACTAATTTCTAAGTTAAACAATGATTCTATATAGGGAGTTATTTTCCAAATATAATAAACCTTAGCCATGGAAGCAATCATGGTGACAGAATCACTTCCTATTTTACTAAAATTTGCAAACATGACTCAATTACTTTGTTTTCTTCCAAATAGTCATTCTAGTAATTTTAAGAGTAACTTGCATTGAATTTCTCTAGAACAAATTAACTTAAATTATTGATACAGTTTCTTATCAACTTCTAGCTTGTGTTACTGAGTCAGGCCTATTATGGGTTTTCATTTCAAAATAATGTATCTCTTGTTACTTTTTAATCCTTTTTCTTAAATTTGTTTATTCTAGATATGCTAGAATTCATACTCCTTTCTAAGAGTTTTTTTGTTTTTGTTTTTTGCATTGGGGATTGATCTCAGGGCCCCCAATTCCCTACCACTTGAGCCATACCCTCAGTCCTTTTGCTTTTTAGTAAGGGTCTTCTGCTAACTTTTACCAGACTGGTCTGGAATTGCTATTCTCCTGTCCTATCTCTAACTCCCAAGTAGCTAATAATCCAAATAGAAAAACAACGTTAAAGGCAGAATTCATGAATATTGGGGCATTTATTTAGAGGAGCATGATGTCATGCAATAACTTTCATTTAGTGTGTCCACAATGTATCAGGGATGTACTAATTAATCTTCACAGTACCATGAGGTTGATATTATTTTCTCATTGTACAGATAAAGAACTGAGGCTTTGAGAAATCAAGTAACTTTGCTGTGGTCATAGCATAAGTAACAGAGCCAGATTCAAACACAGGTTTGACCTCCTAAGCCTGTACTGTTTTTGAGTATCATCCCTGGATTCCCTGAGGTGGTAGGGATTTAAACTAAATTCAAGCATTTAAAATATTTTGACTTTTGTTTCCATTATAAAAGTAATTCATGTTTATTAAAAGAAAGTTGGCCAAAGGGTATGTACAGTCTTAGGGTTCCTTTTTTTTTTTTTTTTTTTTTAGGTTCTGGGATTTTGAACTTAGGGCATTGAAGTGCTCTATTACTTGAGCAGCCACACCCCTAGTTAGTTCTGTATTAGTT